TATGGTGAACTCATCAAAGGGAAATTGCATATGCAAGTCCTTAACAAGAAAAGATACATATAAAAGAAGTCCTCGAGCACCCTTCCTGACCATGACATACATGATCAATAGCAATACACCTACTTAGTGAAACCAAATCTTCATTACCACCCCCTCAACCATAAATTGACTCACGACAAAGGAGGAAGCACAATTGACCATCGATACTTAGAAAAATTACTTTTCTTGTAAGGACCAACCAATAATCTTGTTTTAAGGGCAACCTAGTTTTAACATGTTTTACAACGATTTAAGCATTCTCGTTCAATTCCGAAAGGTTCCTGCCATCACCCTCGGTTTGACCAGCAAAACTGTCAGAAGCTGAAATAGTCGCAATACTATCCAAGCTATCCCCTTGGGCCCTACTCAACATCTCTTGAGCAATACTAATAATCCCATCTGATATCTCTCGATTGCAGCAGAAAAAGAACTAGAAGACATCCTCACATAACAATAACTTAATGGCTGAATCTACTCTGGAAAGGTAGCACAACACAACTTGTGACCCCAACAAAATGAACCAAACCCCTATTTATAGATAACTCTCACGAAAGTTGAAGTGTGGAACCATCACAACCCTCCAACAACACTAATTCGATAGTCAAACCAAATCGTAGGGACATCACATCCAAGATATCCCACCATCATTGTAGCATAGAAAATTGGGCCAAGGCCCATTTACGCTTGGTCCATTCCTTTGGCTTGTCATCATCTTTTCCTCCAACCTAGGGAGTGATAGGCAAGGATAGCACCGACAATGTCCCGACCAAAGAAGGAAAATTTTCTCAATTTTTTCATCACCAATGGCTCTCTCAAACTAGGGGGATTAATGTACTGTATCCATACGACCACAAAGACCTACTCAACCATGAATACTATACCCATACGACCATAAAGACCTACACAACCACATGTATTGTAGCCCCGCGACTAGGTTTCCTCACTATAAAGTGGCAGCCAAAGGAAACCAAACAAGGTCAAGAAGCTGAAGCCCATCAATAAAGCCCAACCAAGGTAGTATAAATATACGTGGATTCTATGGTATGTTGGTTGCTCATTAATCACAAATATTCTTGATACTTACACCCCTATTTGACTTGAGCGAATCCACCTCTAGCATTTGAAGATCTAGAGCGAATCATTGGCTACGTCACAAAAATTGGTCTTGTGGAAGGCTCTCGACCTTGCAAGATTAAATTAGTAAAAATTAAAATATATCACAAGCATTTGAAGGAAAATCCAAAGAAATATAGTTTATTTTATAAAATTCATTCACATATATTTGAACATTAGAATTCATAAGACAATATTTGCTTTCCTTTTGTTTTCCTATATTACAAAATAATAGTTAAAATTAATTTTGCAATGATTAATAAAAGTATGCTTCAACAAAATTTATGTGATTTCCAACCTTTACCCTTTTTTGTAGTAATAGATTGTTTTCTTTTCTTACAAATTTCTTTCTTGCTAGCACTAGAGCCTTTAGTATTTGCAAGAAAAGGATTAAGAATTGCATTACATTCACACCATCTTCATTTGGCATAAAACTATTCACATGAATTTAATTTCAGCTTGTTGAAACACTATCTCACACATTTCAACTCGAATATTAAGTAAGATCCACATGGTTTGTTGAGTTTCTTGTGTTCTTTATTTTCTAAAACTAGAGTGTGGAACAATTTCATAATAGCATTACGATAAAGAAAAGTGACACATCACCATGGGAGCTAAAAGTCTTATTTAAGTCTTCATTTATGTGATAAAAAATCATGAACCTTTTTTTTAACATGTTCTCATGAAGTATCTATTAGATATTCTTAAAATATTTTTAACATTGTAAACATGCAAAGCATGATTACAAAGAATTCCAATAAATTCGAACCTGTGGTAGTTAAGTCAAGTATTTTTATGGAAGAGTCAAAGGTTAGCATGTATTTCTTGTGAGGATTGTGATTCAAAATGACTTCATGATATGATACATTATAACATCGACTAAGTTTTATATAAGTGATTCTACATGTTTCTTCAAAATATTCTTTCATAAAAATTAAAAATCTTATGAGAATATATTATTATTGATGGACATAAAGTCTCACTAATATTTATAATTAGTGGATGTGTACTTTGACTATTTTTGAATTCCTTCTCAACCTTTAATTGATATGACATTTTTTACCATATTTTCAAATGCTATTAAGAATTGTGTGAGACTTGTTGTTTTCCTTACAATTTCACCTAATATACTATTTGTGCTCTCACTCCTTTGAGGGGATTTGATATCAACTAAAAATATTCTTGTTGTATGTAGTGCTACATTTGTAATAAATTTTGTATATATTATTTAACCATTAATAATAATAAAACTTATATTATGTATGACATGTATATGGTATAAAACTCTTCTTTTAAATCACAACCTTTCATGCAAACTTTGAATCTTATGGTCAGAGTTTAGATAACCTAGAAGGAACATTTTTAGTTATATGACACAAGCACAATTTATGACATGTATTTGACATTATCAATCCAATTGCTTTGTCCTTGATTGCATCTTGGTATGGAAAAGTTATCTTTGGTTATTGGTTTCTCGTCCTCTGTAGGAACACTTAGAACAACCAATTAAAACAAATTGTATTTAATTAAATAGTACAACACAACGAAACATGATATTTTGCCAATGATAATTTAAACCAACAAATGAAATACAAAACAAGTTATATTTATTAATATGATAAGTGGTGTAAAAAGCTACAATATCCTGAAGCAATCATAATCAATTTTGGATTTATCATATCTCTATAATACATTAGTCAAACACCACTTTTGATCTAATTGCACACTGTAATAAATTAAAGGATATTATATTTGTTTACTATGTAAGTTATTGATCAAGGACTGAGCATCTCCCACTTCAATCATTTTGAACTTTTCAAAATATACATAATTTTACATGTCTTTCATTATCATACCAAATTTATCAAATTACCTAACCTTTTCACCCAAATAACTCAATATTTATAATTTTCATATTGGCATTTACCATGGATTTTACAATATCTCTTTTGACATTTGATGTATTTTTCATCGAACACAACAAAATTCGTTGCTCTTGTGGTACAAAATCATGGTTGTGATCCTTTACAAACTTTGAAATTGTCCACAATCCTTCCTTACTCAAGCACACCATGGCTTTACAATCTGTTCTTGAATATGTTCCTTCATAAGTTACTTCTCCTTTTGGTTCTTTGTTCTTAAATTCTATCTTTCGGCAACAGAAATGTTGTAAACTTATAAACTTTTTCTCATTATCATAATATAGCTCCCTCCCTTTTCTCACACCAAAGCCCATTTTTAAAGCAAGTGTTTGATATACATAGGTTCATCTTTATTATACACAAATTGACCAGTGGTTGACATTCAATTCACTCCTTATTTATCCTTTACAAATAATATAATTTTAAAAAAATTAACTTTATCAAATGATACACATTTGACAAATTATTAATTAATTATATATATATATATATATATATATATATATATATTAAAACAATTTATATTTTTAATTAAAAAAAAACAAATAAAGAAACACTAACCAATTATAACCACCGTTTCTTGTTTCAACGATTAAATAACATGATAAAATTGGGAGCCGTGTCTTCATTCTATTTATTCATTATCTAGGTATCTTCATTGCATTATTCTGAAAAGCGGTGATGATGAGAAAAATAAACATGAAGTATTGCTCGATAAAGAAACGTGCATCAAAATTTGAAAAAAAAAATACATACCTAAAACATGAAAACAATAAAAATCAAGTTTCTAAAAGATACACAGGCGAAGAATGATTAAAGTAATTATATTTATTTTATTTTATATATTATTTTTTTAGAAAATTGACTAGTTAAAATTTAAGTGGATGTATAAGTGACAGGTTTTGTGCATAGGGCAGTAAATTATAAAATAATCATTTTAATTTTAACTAATTTTTCAAGTTAATGACTTCTTAAAATTGAATTAGTTGTGTGAAAAGATGAGGTAATAATTAGGTTGTGTGCACGCAATAACTGCTCATTCTCTTTTAAGCTGTTTTAATTGAAGTGTAATGTAAGTAGATAAATACAATCGGGAACAACTTTAAAAACATGTCTGGAAACTTGAATATCAAACCCATATTCTACTAAAGTATCAACAACTTCTTGTTTGGGACTGTCGCAAAAAGTTGATACATTGCCAACATCCTCTTACTGACTAGCGTACATATTAATATAATAATAAATAATAATATAATATTAATATATTCAGTTGTTTATAAATAATTGTCAAAATCATGATTTCTCGTCGCAAAATATGAATATGAATGATGGATGGGTGTAAATGATTGTAATTTACCACAAAATGTGAATCAGAATATACAATTTAATAGCAATCAAACCTTCAATCCTTCTTACCAAAGGAGGAGCCATGACATGACCCTTTGCCTCCATCCACCAAATGGCATGAATCCGATCTTCAAAACAATGATGTTTTGGATAATTCATTTGATTTAATTAATCTGTCTATTTACCTAATTCTCTCTTGAATTGGCTTTTAACTAACCACCTTTACCACACAAAAATGCAGTTTATTAGGTTTCATTTCGTTTCTTCCGATCAATTCAAAGAGGATAGAAATTCATATAATTCCCCTCTGATTAAAAATGGGAGTCATATATTTAACCAAATCTACATACATGAATTTCACCTAATGCAGAAGTGTTTGGGAAAGAAAGTTAATTACTGGCATTTCTCATCCAGATATTGCCTAAGCAAAACAAAAATTCCTGTAAGCAAAGCAGCCCATGCTATTTTTGGTGGGGCAGAAACCAAAGGAAGGAGAAACAGGGAATTGTGGCTTTGCAGCGTTCTACATTATTCCTATAAAATACAAGTATGACAGTTCCAATGTGTTGGATCGTCACCTCACAGCTGCTGATCAAGATATGCATCTCTGGGTGATTTGGGTGACACAGGAGTTCCAACGGCAGTTCCAATATACCCAATTACATTTCCAGAAACATTCTTCAACCAGGAGGTGCTTCGTGTTAACCAACCCCCCTGTTCATGTTCTTGCATTTCTTGGTTGCTTTTCCTCTCCTCCTCCAACAATATATCCAACCACATCTTGGACATAAAGACCTTTACGGCTTCAACCCCTTGATTTACAATCTCCACCGGTGGCAATTCAAGAGGATTCTGCTCCAAGTTTAGCTTGGTCAAATTATCAAGGCGCCCAAATGTATCAGGAAGTGCATGAATCTGATTATTGCTGAGATCCAATTCCCTGAGGTTAGTCAAATCACCAAATGTCTCCGGTAGTTCTCTGAGGTCACTGAAGTTACTGCTCAGGTTGAGTACTTCAAGATTAGTCAGTCTCCCAATTGCAATAGGAAGCCCATGTAGCTCATTAAAATGAGCATCCAAATAGCGCAAGGACTTCAACTCACAGATAGATGATGGAAGCCATCGAATCTTGTTCAACTGAATAATGAGTTTCTGCAGGTTCGGTAATTCATATCCAATGTTTGTTGGCAAATATGATAGATTGTTAAAGCTAACATCCAACTCAACCAATGACCTGATCATTCAATATAATAGGAGATCAATCAATCATATTCTTTATAGTTTAAAGAAATTCCTCAATGACTTGAGTATGATTTCCAGTACTGGTTTGAAAAACGAGATGATATTCGTATATAAACAGAACATAGGGAGACTCTTTACAGTGTTTGAACGTAGATTTTAAAATGGTGGAAGACAGAGAAATAAAATGATAAAATCCATACAACCTTGATATAAGACACTCCAACAAATTTGAATAAAAAAACAGTTTTCGATCATGCATAAAATTGGTCCTATTTTCACGATTCTAGTCAGACCAGTGGTCGTCTACTTATGGCTTACAAAATAATCCTATGAGCTCTAAAGTTTGCGTAGATCCCAAATTACAAGGCATAGCAAAATTGGTGACCATGCATGACAACATGTTGCTCTTATCAATTTCTCACTTACCTGCAGTGACAGATGGGATCAGGAAGCGCAGTCAGCTTGTTTCCAGAGACATTGAGCAATTTCAACTTTTGTAACAACCCAATCGAATCTGGCAGAGACTCCAAAAGATTTGAAGACAGATTAAGCTCCTCAAGGTTTTGCAATCCAGCTATTGCATCCGGAATTTCCTATTGATACACAAAATATTTTAGTATGTATGTGAAGCAGAAAAGAAAAAAAAAAAAAAGTTGTTGGGATAAACTTCTAAATAAGTCTTGTTGGATTTCACAATCTTCTCAGGATTGAAAACTAATCACATATTTTATTCATGTTGACAACATTTAAATACAATAAAAATAAATAGACCTAAAAACTGATAACAATTACACCTATTAATCTGAAAATAAATCAGAATAAAACTACCCATAAAAATTTTTCAGATCGTCAATTATCACCCATAATTAAAACTTATAATAATAGGAATTTCAAGAGTGATCTAATAAACTCTAATAATAGATATTGATTCATATGTCTAACACTTCTCTAAGTTTCTCTCAAGTAACATCTAATTGAATCGCCATACAACATTTGTTTAATGTAAAAGAAAAGGTAGGAGCTAATCTTTTAGAGAAATCAACTCCAAGTACTGAAGCACATCCCTTCACTACAAGTCTAACCTTGTGCTTATTAACAAAACCATTTGAGTTGGTTCTTCTGGAAAATTAGATTAAATGAAATTTTATTTTATTATTTTAATACAAAGAGATCATACAAGATATATACAAAAGACCTAAGCTATTTTAGGAAATATAATAACTCTATTTTATTCTAAGATCCTTTAATTTATGAGATTGTTTCTAATTGTTCAAATCTGTACAAATTACAAATTTCCTAATTTATTCTTTCCTAAAATACTATTTGATTTCCCACACTTGGTGTGTAGGTGTTTTTCATTCCCAGCTTGGATACAATCTTCTCAAAATTGTGGCAGCTCAGTCCCTTAGTAAGAATGTCCGCAATTTGGTCTTGAGAGGACACATATGGAGTGCATATCAAGCCACTATCAAGCTTTTCTTTGATGAAGAGTCTGCTTACTTCAATATGCTTTGTTCTATCATGCTGCACTGGGTTGTGGGCTATGCTGATTGCTGACTTATTATCACAATAGAGCTTCATAGGTTCTTCCCATTTTATCCTCAAGTCTTCTAAGATAATTTTAAGCCATAGCAACTTACATATACCTTGTGTCCTGGCTCAGAATTCCACTTTAGCACTGGACCGAGTCACTACACCCTGCTTTTTGCTTCTCCAAGTCACAAGATTTCCTTCAAGAAAGGTGCAATATCCTGTAGTTGACCTCCTATCCACAATTGACCCTGCATAATCAGCATCAGTATAGGCTTCAAGCTTCACATTACCATTCCTTTTGAATAAAATCCCTCTTCTTGGAGTTCCTTTAAGGTACTGTAAAATTTTGTGGGCTGCTTGTAAATGGGTCTCCTTTGGGTTATGCATAAATTGGCTAATTAAACTCACTGCATAGGAAATATCTGGCCTAGTATGCGACAAATATATAAGTCTGCCCACTAATCGCTGGTACATATCTTTTTCAAGAACAATATCTTCTGCATTTTCAAGCTTTAAGTTTGGTTCTAATGGGGTACTAGTAGGTTTGCAAGCTGCCTTGCCAGTTTTCTTGAGCAAATCAGTGACGTATTTCTGTTGGGATATAAATATCATTTTCTTCGAGTGGTCAACTTCAATTCCCAAAAAAATATTTTAGTTTTCCCAAGGTCTTGATCTCAAATTCCTTGCCTAAGCATTGGCTCAACAATTGTTGCTATTCTTTATTATCTCCAGTTAATATTATGTCATCCACATACACCAATAATATTGTTACTCCCCCTGACTTAGAATGTTTAAAGAACAAAGTATGATCCCCTTGACTTTGTTTGTAACCCAAACCTGTCATAACTTTAGTAAACCTGCCAAACCATGCACGGGGGGGACTGTTTTAGCCCATATAATGCTTTTTTCAACTTGCAAACAATGTTGTCAACATCTCTACCATATCCCGGAGGTATCTCCATATTAATTTCTTCTTCAAGGTCTCCATGTAGGAAAGCATTCTTAACATCAAATTGTTTCAAGTTCCAACCATAATTGGCAGCAAGGGACAATATCACCCTAACTGTGTTCATTTTGGTAACCGGAGCAAAGGTCTCCAAATAATCAACTCCATAGGTTTAGGTAAACCCTTTGGCAACTAGTCTTGCCTTATATCTCTCAATTGATCCATCAGCCTTGTATTTCATTGTATAGACCCACTTACATCCAACTGGCCTCTTTCCTATTGGTAAGGTGACTAACTCCCAGGTGTTGTTCTTCTCTAATACCTCCATCTCTACATCCATGACTTGCCTCCATTTTCTGTCAGACAATGCCGCAGATAGGGTATTAGGTAGAAGTGCAGTGTTTAGGTTTACTAGGAATGTTTTATGGGTAGGAGAGAAATTTTTAAAGGACAGGTAATTTGAGATAGGGTAGAGTGGCTGTTTGGTGCATTTTCTTGTCCCTTTTCTAATGACAATTGGGAGGTCAGGATCATTTTGGGTTTCAATTTCAACCTGCACAGCTGGATAAAAAATTGTTACCTCTTTTTGTGGAGTCGAGTTGGATTCTTGAACATGGCTTGATCCTGGAATGACCTTAGTCTTCCTTGAGTACACCAGCTTCTTACCAAATTTTTCAGCTTCAACATCTCCTTGATTAGCTTCACAATTAATTTCACTTTCTTGACCAGGTTCCTTTTCTTGACCAATTCCTTGACTTGTTTCACTTGTTACAATTCAATTTGATCTCGTTTAGGTTCAAATATCAAGTCTGGAAGAATGGTACTTTCAATTTGATTTCGTTTAGGTTCAAATATCAAGTCTGGAAGAATGAGAAAACCAGAATTACTACTTTCCTTATCTTCCCTCAAACTCTCCCCCTGAAGATAAGGTTGATGGAAATAGTCTTCTTGTTCATTAAAGGTAACATCCCTAGACACAAAGAATTTTTTGGATGGGGGTGGTAACATTTATATCCTTTCTGAGTGGGTGAGTAACCAACAAAGACACACTTTAAGGCTCTAGGATCAAGTTTTCCCCTGTCTGTACTATAAATATGGACATATGAGATGCACCCAAAAACTCTTGGTTTAAGATTATTTGTAGTGGACAGGTTTGGATAGAAAGACGACAAAGTTTCCATAGGGCTTTTTGATCCTAAGACTCTAGAGGGTAGTCTATTGATAAGGTATGGTGCTGTAAGGACAACTTCCCCGCAGAAATTTTTTGGGACACTTTTTTGGAACAACAATGTCCGAGTCTTATTTAATAGATGTCCATTTTTCCTCTCTGCGACCCTATTCTACTGTGGTGTTTTAATAGATGTCCATTTGTTCCTAATTGTTCAAATCTGTACAGATTACAAGTTTCCTAATTTATTCTTTCCTAAAATACTATTTGATTTCCCACAATTCTAAACATCCCGTTAATTCCAATAACATTTTTGTGTTGAGGTCTAGGAACCAATTACCAGGTTTGATACATTTCAACCATGTTAAGCTCTCCTGCATTGCAACAATCCGCTTTGGATCCTTTTATACTTCAAAAAAATTTGCAGGTTCTAAAACAACATTACAGCTTAAATAAATGTCTTAAAGTAATCGGGTTCCCCTAACATTTTTATTTTTTTCTTTATAAGAAAAATTAAGAACCTACTTCAGTTCATTTTTCTGTCAAACCTCCTCCGTTAAATTTAAAGATAAACTTTTTCCCTTTATTTTGACCTCGAACAGGTCCTGCCCACTTTTGTTGTTAATCAAACATATTTTATCTTCAAACAAGACTTTGTAGCCCTTTTCTAGCATTTGCCCAATACTCAACAAACTTTGATTAATTTCGAGTACACAAAGTATATCAAGGGTTCTTTTTGTACCGAAGTAACTTTTAATTCCAACATTGTCTTTTGCTTTCACATCTATGCATTCTCCATTGCCAAGTTTAACTTTTGAAGCAAGTGTTTTATCCAATTCCTTGAACAAGGATTCATCATAAGTAATACGATGTACATCCACTATCAATCAAACAACAAAGTTGGTGGTTGGGAAACAAGTTACTGCAAATAACTATTCTTCCTCTTCCTCTTCTTGATCACTACTCGAGCCTCAGTTTGAGACTGCGTTATGTTATTGCACAATCTTGTAATATGACTACCAAAGTCTCACATCAGGTAATTTGAAGAAGGGAGTGGTAGACTACTACTATAAATAAGGGGTGATAATTTGGGTCTACTCACCACAACAACACTAGTCTTTGGGTGTATTGGGGACTTGGGTAGTTATGTGTCAAGTGAGGGTTTGCAATTTTTCCATGCAAAAATTGTATGAGAGGGTTTGCAATTTTGTCCTTGTAAAAATTGCAAGTTGAGAAATGAAGAGTTGTTGATTGTGTTAGTGGATGTAGGCAAGAAGTGTCGAACCACGTTAATTTCTGAGTTTGTTTCTCTATCTTTGTTTCTCTCGTGTGTGTGCTTGATAGATATAGGTTAGTCTATAAAAGGAGAAAAAAAAAGGGTTAATAAACAATTGACATTGTAACTATTTTGTTAAGTAGAACAGACTTAGTATACAAGTCTATCAGGGAGGGCTGAGTTTTTAGTTTTTCTTTTTGGGAGATTTTTTTCGGGGTGATCTCTAGTGGTGAGAGAAAGGGAAGGACTAGAAAGATTACTTCTAGTTTGTAAAGTGCATTGTCATTACATTGTGTGAGGGAATTTTGTCCTACCACATAGATAGGTCAATTCATATCAATAAGAGGTATATTCAGTTTAGCAGAAATATCAGACCTACCAGTGCTTCCGCAGGTGAAGATTTCTTTTCCCCTCTGGTATCCAATAGTGGTATCAGAGCCGATGATTTGTGTGGTGACCGACATTGATATCAGAGCCGATGGTTTGTGTGGTGACCGAAAGTGGTATTAGAGCTATTGGTGTGGTGGGGCTCTGTGGGATTCTTAATTCTTAGTATGATCTGTGGTTGCAACATTATTTGATCTTTCACATCAGAAAAGAATTGAGGTTTTGTCCAAGGGAGGAAGAGAAGTAGTACGTGGACTAGAGCAATGCGATGCTAGGTTCTGTCCAAAGAGGAAGAGAAGCAGTGTACCAAAGAGGAAGAGAAGCAGTGTGCCAAAGAAAAAGAGTAAATTGTTTCTAGCTATCATGATGATGGATTAATGTGAGACTTTGGATGAAGGGAGGATATGTTGTGCCCGAAGTGTGTGGGTATCCTCCAAAGTTCCACATCGGGTAGTTTGAAGAAGGGAGTGGTAGACTACTACTATAAATAAGGAGTGATAGTTTGGGTCTACTAACCACAACAACACTAGTCTTCGGGTGTATTGGGGACTTGGGTAGTTGTGTGTCAAAAGAAGGTTTACAATTTTTCCGTGCAAAAATTGTATGAGAGAATTTACAATTTTTCTATGCAAAAATTGTATGAGAGGGTTTGCAATTTTTTCGTACAAAAATTGTAAGAGAGGGTTTGCAATTTTGTTCTTGTAAAAATTACAATTTGAGAAATGAAGAATTGTTGAGTGTATTAGTAGATGTAGGCAAGAAGTGCCAAACCACGTTAATTTTTGAGTTTGTTTCTTTATCTTTATTTCTTTCGTGTGTGTGCTTTCGCAAGAGAAGATTTCCTTTTCCCCTCTGATACCCAACAATAAGTAATACGGTGTACATCCACTATCAATCAAACAACAAAGTTGGTGGTGGGAAAACAAGTTGCTGCAAATAACTGTTCTTCCTCTTCCTCTTCTTGATCACTACTCGAGCCTCACTTTGAGACTGTGTTATGTTATTGCACAATCTTGCAATATGACTAAACTGGATACAATTGTTGCGGCGTACATAGGTCTCTTCCTATATCTAACTTTGAGACTGTGTTATGTTATTGCACAATCTTGCAATATGACTAAACTGGATACAATTGTTGCGGCGTACATAGGTCTCTTCCTATATCTAAAATAAGGATGATTCCTCTTTCCACAATCTTGACAAGTAGGATAATTTGATTTCTTCTCCTCTTCTTTATCACCTTTAGAACCTTTTTTTGGCACAAAGTTGCTTGTTTGAGCCTTCTTTTTCTCTCCTTTGTAATGAAGTTTCACTTTGATCTGTAAAGCACCTTCGGTCATATCTTCCTCCCTCATTAATATGCTTTGGTCTTATGTTTGCAAAAGATACAACAATTCTACCAAAATGATATTTGACAAATCTTTGGAATTTTTCAAAGAGAAAATAATGGATTTAAATTTCTCATGAACAGTCACGAGGATTTTTGCACTATCCTTATATCAGAAAATTTTGTTCCAAGCAATCTCACCTTATGTCAGAATATTCCTTCACTATTTCTAATTCTTTCATCCGTTGTATCTAAAACTCCCTGATTAAATTCAACATTTGCAGCCATTTGATTCTCTAATTTCCTTCATATTCTTGTTTGAGAAAATCCCAGATGATTTTTACTGACTTCAGATTTACAATTATGATAAAAATTGCTGGAGAATCTACAGAAAATAGGCACGACTTTGCCTTTGATTTTCTTTGCATCCTTTGTTTGTGATTTTTTATTTGATTGAGCACTGGATTATCAGGTAATGGATCAACCTCATAATCCTCAACAGTTTCTCAAAGATCACATGAATCCAGAAAATCCTCCATTTTGACTGCTCCTAGGTGATAATTTTCACAATAAAAAATTGGTAATGTAAGGATTGGGTTAGTAGATTATATTTTTCAACTCTCACGTGTTTGAGTGTTTGGTGGAACTCTCAATCTCACTAGGTTCCTCAAGAATATATAAAGCTCCAATGGCACTATTGAGTTTCACAATATTTTTAAGGTTGAAAACCGATCACATATTTTATTCATGTTAACAACCTTTAAATATAAGTACAAATAGAGCTGAGAACTGATAACAATTACATTCATTAATCTGAAAATTAATCATAATTAAAATTGTGCATAAAAAACTTCTAACCACGCCCATTATCACCTACAATTAAAACTTAAAATAATAGGAATCTTAGGAGTGATCTAATAAAATCTAATATCATGTACTAATATTTTTATAATATTTTTAAAATGGTATCAGAACCAAGATCACAAGTTTAATTTTTAGTGGAGCAATTGTTCAGGGGATTGTTTTGGACTACACAATTACCCTATTATGTAGGTCAAATAGATCAACTCATAATAAAAGAAATCAATTCGTAGTAGGACAATTATTGAGGGAGATTATTATAAGATCCTTCTATGTCGTGTTGAAGTCACAATCAAATCAAATCGTAGTATTTCGGTTACTCTTAAGCAGAAAGAGTTATGCCGAGTTGTGCCTTCACTATCAGTTATAGATTTTGGTCTTTGCTCTAGTAACACTCCATGTAATAATAAGTTCAAGTTCTTGTAGAAGAAAAACTTATAAAAAAAAGAAAAATGAAATAACCATAAAATTAACTTATATACCCTCATTAAAATTAATTTCTGGAGAAGTTAAATACGAGATATTATAAAAATTGAAGTATTTGAGTGTATTTTAAATATATATATATATATATATATATATATATATATATATTTAAAAGAATATATAAGAAGGTTATCTTGACAGGTTCTAAATTATCTGGAAAGGGTGTAAATTATTGAGACAAACCAGTACTGCGACACGATTTTAAACATATCAATGGTAAACCAAGAAACGTACACACACTCACATTCAAAATAAGGGCTAACATTAACTATAGAGCTCCAGATCTCTTCAATAACATGGGAGATGGACAAGCTTATTCGTCAATTTTTTGCACAAAGACACATGTCAGAACCAGCTTAAACCAAAAATGACTAGGATCAGGAATAAACTTTTCCGTAAACATTTGCAAGAGAAAAAATAATAATAATATAAATGTATTGGGTTTAACCATTTAAAATTAACTTTAAATTTGGTTTACACAAATTTTTATTTTATTTTATTCTATCAAGTCCTTATAGGTAAATTTATCCAAACAAATTCTAATTGATTTATTATGTTCTATGACAAAAATAGCGTGTTTGGAAACGGGTTATAAACAAAGGAATCACGATTAAGATAAGAAAAGTACAACTAGTAGTTACCGAGAGTTGATTGCTTGAAAGATCAAGCACGAGCAAGCCAGGAATTCGACCAAATGCTTCAGGCAAGAGCTTCAATTGACGACCAGAAAGATTGACGCGTTCCATTCCCTTGCCATAAGCCTCTTGCAGAATGCCCACAACCTCTTCGTTCACTTCGTCGATAACACCATCACCATCACCATCTTCCTTGGACTCGTACATTTTCACCAACCGCCTCTCCGCCTCCTTAAGAAGCTTCTCGTAGGCCTCGTGCATCTCGTCCAGCTGCAGCACCGACTTCCAGATTTGCTTCTCTGTCTCCGCCCGCTCCCGGCACTCCCTCTCCTTCTCTGCCTGGTGGGCTCGCCAACCGTGGATCTCCATCTCCGCGGGGCGGGCCTGGAGCACGATCTCCTCCAGGTCGCGGGACAGCTGGGCCTCAATCTCCGCTAGCCTGGCCCGAGCGCTGTCGACTTCCTCGTGCGTGGGCCGTTCCCCGATCAGGTTGAGGACCGAGCGGGCCTGGGCCACCTGGGAGACAGCCCGGCCCATGGAGGCCATGAGGTCCGGGTCAGCGAGATGCGGCATTTGGCCTACAATCTCTGGGGTGCGCGGCTGCTCGACGTCGAATTGGTCGGAATCGGAGGTCGTCGCGGTGGCGGCGACGGCGAGTCTGGGAGTGAGGGAAGGGAGGCGCGACATAACGTAAGAGAGGAGGGGAAAGGTTCCAGGGTTGGGATCCATGGCCAGAGAGAAAGAGAGAGAATTTTGGGATTGTGAATTAGCAATTGGTAATGAGTTGAGATAATATGGAATCGATTCAATGCAGCATTGAGAAATTCGTCCTAGGAATTGACAGTGATGTTTGATTTCATTGCCCGTTGTAAAGAGTTAGAGCCAAGTAACTGTTGAGAATGGAATCTGCAACAGTTCAAGGCAAGTTAGTTCAGTAAGTGCTTGCTCCGTTCTTTTTCTATCTCTTGGTGTTGTTAGGTCAAAATAAAAAAATATACTAATGGTTTTTTATTTTACTTTTATTTTTATATCAGAAATAATAATATATTAAATGAAAAATAAGGATGGAAATCAATAAATAGAAGCAAAAGTCTTTTAAAAGTTTTATAGTTAAAAAATAATAATATTAACTTAATCAATCCTTTACCTCTCACGCATAAATTCACGGTCAATATATTTAGTCAAAGCTAACTTAACGGTTGGACTTAAGAGTTGAAATAGAAGAGAACAATTTAATTCAATATATTTTTCATATGGTTTTAGATCAACACATTCGAAGAACATTTTCGTCTACTCAAAATCTTATCTTAGATAGAGTAAGGGTTTATTTTATTCAATTTTATTTTTTAGTTTCAAAAATAATTTTAGAGTTAAATTTTAAAAAATTAATTTTGAAAATAAGTTGAAGAAAAACTTGTTTGATAATTTTATCTTTTAAAACTATTTTAAACAAAAGAGAATGATAAAAGTTATGCGAAGATTGAAAAATTATTTTAATAATTTCATAGTGATCATTAGTAAAAACCCTACGAGGTATTATCTGTCATACTGCACTTGAGACTTGAGACAGGTTCACAAACATAGATCTACTAAAAATAGATTTATAAATATAAAATTAATATCGGTGAAGTCATATGTTATCTCGCTTCTAAATCCACTATCCTATTATCATATAGTTTTCTTTCACTATTAAAGTTAATTTATGTTTCACTAACTAGAAAATAAACTTTGTGAGGTTGATCCTTCAAATTTTTTTTCTTCTATTCTTCTTGTGCCAACAACCATCTTTCTTCATGTCTCTCTTTTGTCACAATGACATTATTTTTTAGATGTTTCTTATTTTGAAACTTTGATCTATCATGTGATTGACTCCCACTAGATCCACGTAGGCATGACAATGGGACGGGGTCCGCTCCCAATTATTTTAACCATCTCGTCCCATTTTTTATTTCTATCGGGGTTAGAAATTAAATTTTCATCTTTGTCTTAGTTAGATTTTGGATTTTATTGCTCTTGATCCATCCTCGTTTCACATTATTTCTAAAATATAATTATACTTATAATAAATTAATTTTAATATTTTTTAACATATATTTTTTATACAAAAATAAATATTTATAATTTTACAATTTTAATTATTAATATTAATTAAGTATATATTTTAATTTATTATATTTATATTAAAATATATATGTAAAAGAAATATTTAATCATTATTATTATTATTATATATTATAATGTTGTATTTGACACATTTAATTATATATATATATATATATATATAAGCTAATTATTTTTTAAGTTGTCATTTAAAAATATTTAAAAATATAAAATATATAGTTTATGAGAAAATATTTATTAAGTTAATTCTTATTTAAATTAGTCCAAAGTGATAAAAGTTTTAATTATTAATTCTTTTTAGTTCTTCAAAACATAATTATTTTATCAAAAAAATTTAATATATAACAAATAAGAATAATAAAATATAATAAAGATAAATTAGAAATAAAATAATATTAGTTACTACTAAGATTGATATAGAATATTTAGAAAAGGATAAAGAAGAAGAAAAACTAACTTAGTGTTTTTTAATTAATTGAAAAGATTGAGAAAATCAAATTGATTGAAGAGATTAAGGAAATGTGAAAATGTTAAAAGATAAGAAAAAGATAATAATATAATGAATTGATTGATCCAAGAAATTGAAAAAGACAAAAGAGTGAAAAAATGGGCAGAAAAAAAGTAAAAAGGGTGAAATTGAAAAATGACCTTATATATAATCTGAAAAAAAATTTAAAAATACTAAAATTTTAGGATTTAAATTTAAATATAAAGGTGTGGTGGGGATGAGACCGGGGTAAAGATTACATTACCCATTTTCACCCCAACTTTTTAAAACAGGGAAAACTTGAATCCGCCCTTGGTCAACTAAATTTTTCTTATCAAACTCGGGACGGAGACGGATGAGTCCTTGTGTGTATGAGTTTAATTGTAATACCTATATCCATGTTCTATTGATCTACCTCTTATCATCTTCAAAGTCTATGCTAGTTTTGAACTTTCCACCTTTTCTATCTTCCTTTTTTTGCCTAAATTCTTCTTCAAAAATAACTCTAACAACATCCTCAAAGTGTAGGTGTCCATCAATATTATTATTTGTTATATTGATGATGAGTTGATTATGCAATAATAAGTTGATTATTATTCCACATGTTCATTCCTAATTATATTAAAATTTACCGTTGAAAGTTACTAGGGCCGGCTCAAGGCCCAAGCAGCTAAAGCCCTTGCTTTAGGCCCCCTAAAAAAAAGGCCTCTAAATTTTTTTTAATACTAATATTATTTCTAACAAATTTTTAATAAATCATACTTTTTTTAAGAAAAAAATTGGTTAGTTAATATTAATAGTTAAAGAAGTCCAAAAGTTTTTTTTTATCTCTATTCTTTTACTAATTAATTTTAATTTTTATCTTCTCTTCTCTCTCTATGTGACTTTTTAGTTCTCATCTATTCATTCTTTTTACTTTTCAAACTACTCAATTTGAGTGTTTGATATATACACATAACACATTAGTTAATGACTCAATATTTTTAATTTCTCATCTGAGTCATCTTTTATATGTTGTGTACTTGTGTTGGTTGTTGGCGTTTTGCTTGTGTGTGTTTCGATTTCACTGATTTCAAGGGGTAGAAGGAGGCAACGCAACTCAAGCAAGGAGCTATTTGACATTTCTTTCTTTGCAGTACGACAATGTGTCATATCAAGTAAAAATCTAGAATTTAAAACTTGTACATTAGGATACTCTGATAGTGTCTCTTTCAATTTACCGTTTATCGCTTTGCGCCTTTACAATTTCGTTCAATTTCGTTTACCGTTTATTTTCTTGACAACTCACAACCAAAACCAGGTTTTATTGTTTCGACTCATTCTTTTTTATATACTTATCTTTAGTAGTGTTTTATATATTATAATTTTTTATTTCATATAAAAATATACGAGATATGTCAACTAGAAAATATGAATTAGGTTATTCAAAACTCCAAAAGAAAAGAAGAGTCGAGACTTTAATTTCATCACAAAAAGGAGCTATGGATAAATTTATAAAAATAGATAAGAAAAATGAATTAGAAAATACAAGTGGGTGCTCTTTGAATGAACAAGATAATAACAATATAAACATAGGTGAAAAAACAATAGAGAGAGTAGTTAGTAATGAGGATAATTTTGATTTTCAAACCCATAATAGCGAGGAGGAGATTGAGAGACTAGATGATAATTCTACTATTGATGAAAATGTATATGATCCAGGCCAATGGAAGAATATTGATACAAATTTGAGAGATATATTAGTAGAAAAAGGCCCTATTAAAATCACTGATATTGATTTTCCAAAGGATAAATATTCTAGACACTTTTTTTCATCAAATTATATTCAAATATTGTCTAATGTGTTAGACAAATGACATCTAGAAAGGGGTGAATAGATGCACAAATCAAAATAGATGTCAAATTAAAAATTTATTTTATATGTCTAATAACTTGTTAATTTAATTTTAAAGCATAAGCGATAATATGATCAGGAAGATATAAGAGAAGTGATTAAGAAAAGTAGAGTGATAAGGGAAGATAAGAGTACACAGTAATTTATACAAGTTTGGGTATAGCCAACCCTACATCCAGTTCCCAGTCAACTCTAATCACAAGAGTGATTCCCAATTCACTATCTTTAAAATTCACTTTTCAAATTATAATCAACTCAGCAGAGGAACTAGTAAAAAGTAAACTAATTAAAAAGACAATCACCTTCTTAGAAACCTACTAAGGATGAACACCTCCCTAGAGTCCCACTAGGGATGAACACCTCCTCTGAACAAATCAAAGGATAAAAACATCTCCTTAGAATCCCACTAAGGATGAACACCTCCCTTGAATCCCACTAGGGATGAACATCTCCTCTGAACAAATTAAAGGAATGAACAGTTTCCACATAGGAAACCCTAAAATAACATTGATTAACTTAAACCTCCTAAACCCACAAAAGGATAAAGGCAATAAAATTAGAACAATCACACCTGGTAATGGAGACAACAAATTGTAGAAGCCTGTAGAATGCCAACTTCCAAGGATAAGTGTGATTAACAATGAAAGCATAGAAGGCAGTAGAGAAAAGGGTTTTCTTAGAACATGTAAAATATCTCTGTTGTCTTGCTATAATTTTTTTCTCAAAACTGATTGAATGTAAATTATATTTTCAAATTTTATAATTGTATGTTTTTTATTTTCCATCAAAACTTAATTAAATAGAAAAATAGCATCAGAAAATGGCCGTTGGACATTAATATTTTCGTGGATAAAAATTAGGATATATTCAAAAACATTTATTCTTCAAAACAGATATATTTTTGAATTTCAAACTGCCATAATTGATTATCTTTTTAGCATAATCAATTATATCAGGGTAAAAATCAATTTCTCAATTCTGATGCATCATAATCAATTATGACAGTGAAAAATGTCATGTTACAAAATTTTATCACACTTGTGCTTTGGAGGCTTATGCATAATATTACTTCATCAACTTGTACCTCCATATCCAGTATTCTAAGACTCTATCTAGTCTTCAGGAATCATCTTGTGTTTGCTTGATGTTTGAATTAAATCTTTATCAAAATCATATCTTGGGTTTGCTTGAGTCTTAAATGTTGTTGACTTGAATCATTATCAAAAT